CACAAAATCAATCTGTCGCGCGCGCGGATACGAATCGCCGCGCAGCGCCGGGCGACTCTACGCGGAGCCACGACGCCGAAGAAATTTTACGACGATCGCCGTGACTTTAAACGACAGCAATCAGTAGTTCCAATGGTCATAACTATACACGTGGAGCTTAATAGCTCCGCTTATTTCAGGGATGTAAACCGGTTTTACTCGTGAATTGCCTGTTTTCCGGTACTGTGACGCGACAATGAACGATACGTTTATAATTGCATTCATTGTTCAGTCTGTCTCTGCCGGCGATCCGGAAAATGTGGCATTTAATTTCCAATGTAGCTAAGTATATCTGCCATTAATATTTTATTTATGAATAAAGTTACGCGATAACCAAAAACACAATAGCCCACGTCCACGTTTGCTTCTCACGACTGGCATGTGTGTACTACGTTATTTGTTCATGTATAACAGTTGCTCGTTTAAAATATCAATGAAAAGTCAAATGTCTCCGATGTGTGTAGTCAAAGGATGACGAAATTGTCACGTAAATTATCACGTCGCAAAGTAAAGACATCTCTCAGAAAGATAACGTGATCGCGCCGTGACTACTTCGACCGGAGAAAATTATCTCAACGATGCACGACGACAAAGGATTTGCAGGAAGAAATAAAGTTGGGCACACCGGTATAAATAGCGAGAGGTACCGTTGCGACCGTATCGGGTTGAGGGTCGGGGTGATGCGATCGTGATCGATGTAGATCGTTCTTTCGATCTATCTGCGGCAATCCGTGCTCGGGCAGGCCGGTGTGTCCCTACCGGCCGATCGGCAACGATCTACATACACCGGTGAACCACGCGACGCTTTTACGTGCACACGTACCGAGGGACCTTCGTATAATGTACGAGCGAATAAGTTATACATACGTATATAAATGCAAAACATTTGTATAGCGAGATCTGTTTCCGGGTCACGCTGTACGGCAGGTTGACGCCAAAGATATCGACGCTATTGTCTCTCGTGCTCGATATCCGTGATCCTCTCGCATCGATTAGCATTGATTTGTGGATCATCGTGATTGGCCCGCGGCACCAGCTGCCAATGTCGATTTATTCGGATACGTACATGGGCTAGTCGTTACGGTGATTCTCCGTTTTGCGAACGATCGTAGATAATCACTCGCTGGTCACTCGCTCGCGGTCAGAGATCGAGATCGCTCGGTCTCACGCATATAGATTCGTCATGCCTCGATCTTTCAATAGTCAAGTGTGTATCCGCGCTATCGCAACCGAACACTTAACGATTTGGTTGTGTAACGCACGGGGTGTCCGCAAATTCTAATCCACCGCGACGTCAACATTGAGAAGAAAGGAGAACAATGGGTGTCGCTCAAAGTTAAAATAAGTTCCGTAGATTTGAATCCGCGCTCTCCTTTCGCTGCTGGCTATACGGACTGTGTGGCTTTAATTGTATATCGCAACGATCTCTTGTGAACCGAGAAAGACACCTGCGACCAACGAGAGCCGCAGCTGATATCCGAGTCTTCCAGATTGCGTAACGATTCATGCCTAACAAAGTGTGGGACTCGATGTATTAGAGCCAGTGAATGCGGGGACCCTTAGATTCAGCCCGTACCTCTTTCTTTCTCCGACGAGCGAAATCGTATAAACTGCGAAGATAGGATCTATACGTCGGCCACGCCTCGAGAGAGGGATCGAACTGTCTCTTCCGTATACGTCCAAATCGTTTTTGACGTATCTCGCGAGGATTAGCATAAGGTGCGTCTCAGGGTTCTGCATTTCATTTACGTAAGAGCATAGCGAATAACGGAAGCCATCGTTCGACGCTAAGACAATGGTCTTTATCAAACGATTCTTCAGCGGAGCCCATTCATTTCACGCGCGCGTTTATATTCTACAATAATATCGTAATTTTCATACGCACACAAATTTGTAATGCAACACTTGCAAGCTTTTGAAATATAGTCCTCAGATAACAAAATAAAATACTTCAACAACATAAAATTAAAATTATATTGCTATAATGCTGCTGTAATATTACATTGTAATATTTCTGGAGGCGGACATTTTACCGTTGCTGCAAGATTGCAGCAGCGTTGCAGCAACATTTCGCAGCGTTTAGGCAATGTTGCAATCTTGCGATAAATTATTGCTGCAATGCTGCTGAAACCTTGCTGTGCTGTATAGAAATGTGCGTAAATGTCTAATATTAAATTTAATTCATATTTGTGACGTTCAATTATCTGTTTTTCCATAATGTATAAATGAAAACCACCAACAAATACTTTTGTCCAATTTCTTCGCAATAATAACTGCAACCGCACTCTATACATTTCTCTGCGCGTTACCCTTAATCTTCTCTCCAGTAAACACTTTATCTACAATTGATATTCTTCTGTATTATATTACTTTCTACTATAACGTTAAACTATTTATCTGCTATAAATACTACAATTTACTATATCCAACTATTCCGTTATAGTATGTTATTATCGTTCATCTTTACATTACTATACGTGCTGATAGTTACCCAGCGAGAAATGACTCGTCGATTCGACGTTGTTTCAACAAATTTCTCACTGGGTAAACAGGGTGAGTCGTTAAAGGCTGTCCCAACTTTTTACTATAATGCCCATTCTACACCTAGGGATGATCCTACTTTTACCACATCCGATACCCCTTCTATACCTAAAGCTAATCCTACTTGCAGCTTATCCGAGGGAGTAGTATAAAGTGTAAAAGGGTACACTGTAGTTGTACTTTGGTACGATTGGAAACCAACCAAAGTGTAAACCTTTTACACTTTATACTACTCCCTCGGATAAGCTGCAAGTAGGATTAGCTTTAGGTATAGAAGGGGTATCGGATGAGCCACAAGTAGGATCATCCCTAGGTGTAGAATGGGCATAAGAGGTGAATTACCGACCGCAATTGTAGCCAACTCGGGAAAAAATGAACAAAATCTCGTTCTACATGTCTCAATCATGTAATATCTAATTATTTCTCAAGAAATGTAATTAGATATTACATAACTCAGACATGTAGAACGAGATTTTCTCTATTTTTCCGAATTGGCTACAGTTGCGGTCGATAATTCATCTCTTATGGTAAAAGGTTGGGACAGCCTTTACGACTCCTGTATATCGGTAGTAGATAGAAGCTTTCACGTTTTCTCTACTTTACCGGGACTCTGTGGGTAATACTATCGTTCATTCTATGAGAAGAATCCCACAGAGGGACTCAAATCAGTTATAAATGCTTTCTCGCCAAACCCACGAGACTCACAAAATATTCCGGTATAAAATAAAAATTTCCAGGCACTAGAAGTCGCGCGAATCAAATAAGAGTTGTACGAGGGTACTTCAATTTCTTATTTCAGACTAATTATTCCACCTGGGCAAGAGAACAGTTCACAAATTGTGCTCGCAAATAACTCATCCTTGACAGTGACAGTGTACACCGGCCATGTTGCAAACGTTAGACAGCTGACCGTATTAGACCGCGTGGAAGGCAGAAAATTTTTTCCTTTTCTTTCCGAGGGATTTCGACATTAAGACACAAATACCCTTCAGTACTCTCATCGAGAATGTAGAATTATTAAATACAAAAAATGTGCCTGTAATTATTTCAAAAGGGAATAATCCAGCACTCCGTTTTCAGATGGACCTGTATTATCGATCCGACAGGTCGAAAAACGCCGGCGTATTATTTAGGAAATAAGAAATATTAAAACTTCTCTCCGCGGTCTGCTCAAGGCGAGCCAGTGCGCAATTTCTATGATGTGAGCTGACTCACATCTCGCACGTAGTATCTTCGGTATCGCCTCTCACCTTACCTTCGGCACGGGCTCCACGCATGTGTGTTAATGCGCGGGTTGTGAGGTCATACACCCACCTTCACAGGTGGTTCGTTTTTCGTTCAAACCGCGGAGAACGTTGTGGAACGGACGCGCGAGGGGCTCCTCTCGCGCGAAGAACATACGGTCGCGCGCAGTAGTTTACATGATGATCATGAGGACATTGTTCGCGGCTTATCCTGTGTCAGTGTTGCTTGCATTCACGGTCACTGCCATTGGCAGCAATTACACAGATATCAATCTACCGCACGAGCACGTCAAGTATTACTTCAACTCTTTTCCCACGGTAGCAGAAAAATGCCGCAATGATGCGGCGTGTCCATATAAGGTAAGATTATATTCAATACTAATTTCTTAACATGCCTCTTAAATCTTTTTTTGTACAACATTTGAGACATATCCCATAAAACTTTATTTAGAAATTAACTTCTGTGGAGTTTGCATTTGCACAATACCCGTTTATTCGCCTAAATTTTATTTAAAAAACTTGTTGAATAATTTTTACGTAAATCATTAAAAGTAAGTCAACTTTTTAATATGTTTCAGGACAGTCTCGGTACTAAAGCTTGTTGGGGCTACGAGGAAGATTGCAAAGCGAAAAACTCTTTATCTATTCCGCACTGCCCAGGCGACCACAAGGGGTGGGTTGCCACGAAAAGAGCTCAGTTGGACACATTTTATGCGCAAGGCGACTTCGGATACGTGCGCGATCAGAGAAAAGAGATGATGCTGTTGTGCGAACCATTGTTCGTGGTGAGTTTAATCGATAATTACTTTTTTATAATACGTTGTCTAGTAATATAAATTTAACGTCACATTGGGATCGTAAAAAAATAGTTTAATATCTCGGGTTTTTTTTCAGGACGATTCGTCCTTGGAGTGTTCAGAGCACATGAGGTTCTGCAGAGCGAGAAACGTGATGCTAAACTTCACAGATTTGCTGAATCGAAAGGAACCTTTACGGTACAAAATGGATGTGTTAAAAGAAGGTCAAATTAGCGGCTACTGCACGTGAGTGAATATCAACGAGCAGATTATCTATGCGAGGAATTGGAAAGTGACTCTCTCTTCTGCGATCAGGCTGAACGTGAAGAGATTACAGGAGAACGCGGATCATATTAGCGCGCTGCAGTCTTGGGGACCGGAAATACGAAACTTTCGAAAATTACCTCACCGTCCAATTGTTCATGGCGACTGCGATGTCGTCATTGAGAAACCGACCTTCATCATGAAAATAGATGCCAGTAAGTTTGACGGCATTTCCGAAAGAGTGTCAAGTGAGTTACGGCTCATATTCGCCACTTCGTTAAAGTCGCTCTGTTTTAGTAGTAAACATGTATCATCACTTTTGCGACTTTTTCAACTTGTACGCATCATTGCACGTGAATCTCTCGCACCCATCTGCGTTCGATACTGATAATTACATCATGATCTGGGAAAGTTATAGGTAACAAGCATAAATCGAAACGTAAAACGAAACTGACGCGAACATAAAATGAAGATTACGACCCGTTGGATACCGAACTGTTTCGCTTTCAGTTATCGATCGGCGTTCCAAGATACCTTCGACGCATTCACAAGAAATCCACTGTGGGATTTGAAAACATTTCGAGGAGAGACAGTGTGCTTCAGGAACTTGGTCTTTCCACTCTTGCCGCGGATGATATTCGGTTTATATTACAACACACCGCTAGTACTAGCATTGTATATCATTTCACCGAGATGCCCTACGCTCCAAAAATGAATATGAATTATGAGAAAATATTGTTTCAGATTTACGGCTGTGAAAAATCCGGATTGTTCAAAGCTTTTGGCGATCATGTGTTGCATCGACTTCAAATACCTCTTCATCAAAGGAAAGATCGAAAGATTCGTGTAACATTGCTAAGCAGAGATACTCAGTATAGAAGGATCTTAAATGAGAATGAACTGGTGAACGCTTTAAAGGAGAATCCGGAATATAAAGTTAGGAAGGTAATGCTCCAATAGAAAGACTTTCCAGAGCAACATTATGTCGTCTTAAAGACATCTTAAAGACGTCTTGAACAGTTCTAAGACGTCTTATGAAGTTGTCATCAATAACAAATGTGTTAATTGAAACTTACAAAGTTATATAAATACTATTTAACATGTAATCAATATTTTATATTTTTATAAGACGTCATAAAGACATCTTTTTGACAATGTCTTAAAACTCTTTTCTTCTGACGTCTTATAGACGTCTTTTAGTAAAGTCTTAAAGATCTCTCTTTAAAGACGTCTTTAAGACGTCGTTTAAACATACATGTTGTCTGGGTTAATTAAAGACCATTAACATTCTGTTTATGCAAGGGGTAAACCGCTAAGAACATTGTGGTGTACAGATTTGCGACATTACTGGGCATTACTAGGCATTTTTGAGCATTAGTTTGGGCATTAGGCCTGACTGGGGCATTATAAAGATATAATAAGATAAAATAAGATATAATAAGATAAGACAAGATATAATAAGATAAAATAAGATAAAGCAATGCCCACTGGGCATTAGTGGGCATTGGTGTACAAGAGTTTGTTGGCGGTTTCCCCCTCGTGTTTATGTTACGTGTTATACAACCGATTTCTTGTTGCAGGTGGTGTATAATAAAAATGTATCATTCAAGAAGCAGTTAGAAATCACTAGGAATTCTGATATTTTTATCGGTATCCACGGCGCTGGCCTGACGCATTTAATGTTTCTGCCAGATTGGGCAGCAGTGTTAGAAATGTAAGTTCTGTTCTAAAACATTAAAAATGTACGATTGCGTGAATAGTATTGACCATTTCAATTATTTTTCGTAGATACAATTGCGATGATCCTAATTGCTATAAAGATCTTGCACGGCTGAGGGGTGTAAAGTATCTCACGTGGAAAGATATGTCAAAACTAGTGCAACAAGACCCGGTACGTTTGCATACATTTTTCGCTAAAGTAATATAAGATTTTATAACTTGGTTTTATTTTAATCAAAGAAAAATTTGGTACTAAATAAGAACGAATCTATAATAAATACTTCTGACATTTTTGTTACTCTTTTTTATTCCATTTTATTTTCTCATTGATTTAAACTATGATTCTAGCTTTGTGTTTAAAATGTATATTTATAACTTGGTTTTATTTGAATCAAAGATTTGGTATTAAATAAGAGCGAGTCTATATAACAGATATCTCTGACATTTTTAATATTTTCTATTCCATTTTATTTTTTCTTTGATTTAAACTATGATTAAAGCTTTGTGTTATTATATGTATAGACGTACATGCTTAAATGGATACAATTTACAGGGGACACATCCCGATGGCGGGGCTCACGCCAAGTTTACGAACTATAGCTTCGACGTTAAAGAGTTCCTCAGAATCGTCTCGCTTGCAAGAAATCACGTCAAGCACCATAATGCATTTAGGAAGTTTAACAATTCTCACGGCAAAGTACAAAATGATACTAGGACGCCGGATAATGAAGAATCGGTACAACCTTCCAATGCTAAGGAACCGATACGACTACAAAAATCGGATATATTATCCAAAGATGAATTGTGAACACTCCTAGGCACTAAATTATGACAACAAGATATGGTAACAGAACATGATTTAAAATGCATTTGTTGATCAAATTTCTTATACATATACATACTTAGTTTTATACTAATGTACATACTTTATTTTGATAAGTAAAATAAACGCGCGAGAGATCTCGATATGTCTGAGTTGCATTTGGCAGTACTTTCTTTTAATCCTTAATTCGTAATTAACGTTAATATATTTTTTTTATTACCTAGAGTACCGACCAAAGTTATATCAGCTTCCGATTTTTTTAGCATGACTTTCGTCAAAGTGCATCGAATGTGCTCAATCTTGTATACATGAAGGGTAATGAAATTTGACAAAATACACCATGATTTTCGGACTTTTCATTCGTGCACTTTAAAACATATGTTTTGCTCAAAATATCGAAAGATGATACAATTTTGGTCGGTACTGCATCTATATTTGGCCACATGAGAACTATAACGTAAAGTCTCTATAATGAAAAACGGAAGAAAATATTCATAAAATTCACTGTACACATTTTGATATAAATTATGTAATATTTTTAACAAAGACTCGTGGAAGAAAACACGGAGAGAATTTTTTCTTAAAATTTATCCTGAAAATCGTGCGATCGTGGGACAACAACAAATTTGAAGAACTCTATGAGTTTTTCCCACATACATTTTACTAGTAAATAAACTTGTTAGTACAATCACTAGTGAAATGCATGGTAAATTTTCAAAAACCTCATAAAATTCTTTAAAATGCCATGTTGCCCCACGATTAAATTATTTTTAGGATAAATTTTAAAAAAACATTCCCTCTGTGTATTGTTTTCAGCAAGAGATCGTCAAAATTCCGACCGAAATTATAAATTTATTAAAACTAGCCATCATTATTGCACATGTTTCACAGTTTGACCGGTATTTTGAACTTGTAAAGTATCAATGCTGAAAACACACTCACAGCCATATATATAATTAATATTAATAGAGCCACCGATTGTTTGGCGTATAACGTGTACATTGACATATTGACAAGGCCAGTCGTGACGTTGCTAACGAGGAAAAAGAACAGGCCGTTGTAATTAACAGCGTCAAAAATCTCTAAAGACCTCCCGATTATACATGCCTCGTTCTCATCTCTCTCGCTCTTCACGTGTTTCTTTAAATTCAGTCGCAAACTTTTACGCATCCTCTCCGTTTTGCTTTCATCGCACGACTCGTTTATCGCGCAATCAATTATGTCCAGCACGATCTCTACGAGCAGCAAGAAACTGAGTAGCGTAGTCGTTAGAAGTACTATCCACATGCAGTACCCGGCGTTAGCTAGTCTTCTCGAGACCTCGAAATCGCAGAAGAACGTCGCGATGCAAGTTTGCGCGGCGATCAAAGATAATTTGATGCACAACATCATGGACTCGTTGCAGCGCACTCCAAACTCAAAACCGTGCAGTTTCACCGAAACTTTCGTACTCGGTCTCGCGTGCGAATTTTGATACGCCGAGTGTATCAGTCTTCCAATGGCCACACCGACGAAATACAGCCCCACGTAGCCGGGTACGGAAATCAGACCCTCGCGATTGGCGGAGAAAAAGTCGTCCCTCGGCCCGTCCCGCAAGACCCACGCCTTCAAACCTTTGGTGCTCATGGTGTATTCGTGCATCCACAGTATCCATATACCCGAGAGTAACGAATACCTCGAGCTGACGGTGCTGGTTATCATACTGGTGAACAACTTGACGACAGCTAGAGTCATAAAGAAGTTCCAGTGGACGCCGTACTCGGTGACGTGCCTCTGATAACCCAAGTACTCTACCACCGCGAAACGTCCAAGGCCCAGCGCCAGGAGTGGCGCGCAACTTCGTAAGCAGCCTTTCATGTTTCTCGTTAAGGTCTCCCGAAATCCTCCTTGACGGGAGGTAGAGAAGTCACGAGCCTCCGGCGCAACCAACGCGTTCGCCAGTACGAACAACCCCACGCCCGTGTCCATCAAACTGTGCCCGAACACCTCCGTCTTGGCGAACTTCCGTGGGAAGATACGAAAGTCAACGGCCAGTATGCAGATCGCGGTAATGATGTTAATCAACGCGCGAAAGTTAGTTATGAAAGGTCTCCTGCCGCTAACCGGCCGCACAGTCAAATTGGGAGGATTGCTCTCCTTGCGCATCAGCAGCAGCATTATGTTCAGCAGAGAGACCGAGATCATCGTCACGCATACGCTCCCGATGTGCTCCGATAACGCGGTGCAGCACAGGATGCTCGGGACGACGGCCAGCGTGAACTCGATGACGACTCTCGCCTTTTCGCGCGTGTACTTTTTGAGGACTCCCAGAGTCGTCGCTGCCAACAGAACGCCGCACACGGCCGGCAAGAGCGTGAAGATCACCTCTTGCGGCGCCGTGCCCCCGTGATCGGAGACGAACGCTTCTTGCTCCAGTCGGTATCGCTCCTTGCTCATCGGCGGCGACATAGCCGAGTCGAATTTCAAGCATTCTACGAGCGCGCCCAGGACTCAACTGTGATTTCGCGCAGTCGGAGCACAGTATAACCACAGTATAACCAGTGTAACCAGTACGGTCACTCGTTCTTTTGTTTCACGTTCGCGCCGATCTGTACTGCGCATCCGACATGTTTTTATAATGTCCAATCGCAGGATTTTTGTACGTGTGTTAGTGCAAAGTCGGTGTGACATTCGCAGTGTTGACGAATAACGCTGTAAAGGCGTTATTGAAAATAACTCAGTTAAGAAATTGTTAATATCGACGAAGATTATTCAATAAAAAAAATTTAATAGAAATACGTATTGTAAGCTCTAAGGATATGTTTAAGTGAGATTATTTTTACAGGTATCGAAGAATTAATGTAATGGTACAGAATGATATGTATACCAGTTTAAATATACATTCAGTTCAATAACGAAAAATAATAACTGATATAGTTAATAAGTTTTACTATTAATACCGTTGTATATGCAGATTTCATCGCAAAATTGATGCATTTAAACCTCCTCTTGTGGCTTTTGTTAACGTAAATGTTGATAAATATTTTTCTGTATTCTTACAAATATATAGACTTTGGATTTTCATAATTTTGAAAATATTTCAATACTGAGATATAAATTATACGTATAATTGCTAAAAATTTTGCTAACAATACAGTTATATTAGACTGTAAGCAAGTATGTTAAAGTTTGATTTTTTATCATTAGTCATCATATTTTATTGATGTTTTATTTCTACACTCACCCGCAAAAAAAATGGGCCACCACATTTTAGCCCAATTTTTCAACATTTTTCAATAGTGATAACTCGGCGAAAAATCATCGTAGACAAATGATTAAAAAAGTATTTTGAAGCTTGAAGTTTCAACTTTGAAATGCTGTCAACAATTCTTTAAAATTCGTTTATCTTCCTTGTTCTATGCTTTAAAAAAGAACACATTATTTTTTTCTTAGAATTACGTATTTTTGACGCTCTGTGGCTGGATAAAAAAATTTGTCTCGAAAATACCATCTCAAATTTCATAAACTATAACTCTTTGCCTACAAAACGCTTTTTTAAAAATTGTCCTACGATGTTTTCTGACCAAGATATACGATTTTGAAGCTAAACCTGTACTTTTTAGAAATGTTGTCGATACTCAGCAAAAACTCATCGTAGACAAATAATTAAAAAAACGTTTTATAGCCAAGAAGTTGTAGTTTATGGAATTTGAGATGATATTGTCGAGAGAAATTTTTTTACCCAACTACAGAGCATCAAAAATACGTAATTTTAAGGAAAAAAACAATGTATTCTTTTTTTATAGCAGCGAACAAGGAAAATAAAGGAATTTTAAAAGGACATTTAGAGCACGTTAAAATTGAAACGTCAAGCTTCAAAATGCTTTTTTAATCATTTGTCTACGATGAGTTTTCGCCGAGTATCTACAACATTTCTAAAAAGTACAGGTTTAGCTTCAAAATCGTATATCTCGGTCAAAAAACATCGTAGGACAATTTTTAAAAAAGCGTTTTGTAGGCAAAGAGTTGTAGTTTATGAAATTTGAGATGATATTTTCGAAACAAATTTTTTTTATCCAGCCACAGAGCGTCAAAAATACGTAATTCTAAGAAAAAAACAATGTGTTCTTTTTTAAAGCATAGAACAAGGAAGATAAACGAATTTTAAAGAATTGTTGACAGCATTTCAAAGTTGAAACTTCAAGCTTCAAAATGCTTTTTTAATCATTTTTCTACGATTTTTCGCCGAGTTATCGCTATTGAAAAATGTTGAAAAATTGGGCTAAAATGTGGTGGCCCATTTTTTTTGCGGGTGAGTGTATTAGCAATTTCGTATAATTCAATGTATCAGATTTTGTACCAAACTTAATATTTTATTGAAAGTATTTTATTAAAAATAATGGCAAATATAATTATATTTAATGGTAATATGTTGCAGTTATAATTTTATCTATCTTTTTAATTAAGCAGTAATGTCCCCCTGTCCCTGCCTATCCGAGTACCTACCTACCCGTATTCCGCTGTATAGTCTTATTAATTTTCCTATCATTTCCTACCTATCCGCGTTTCACCTTTTTGTTAATAAACCTACGAGTCTTTCGTTAAAACCGCGACGCGATTTATAAGAGGTTTGGAGTTATACGCGCGCGATTTAATAGGGGTCTTTTTAATCTTGCACATATGCAAGAATAAGTAAAGAAGGAAAGAATATAACCCACCCGAATTTTTGCACATAAGAAGAAATCAACATACGAGTATATCGTACACATTTACATAATACATCAAAGTGGCCAATATTGACCACTAACTCGGCGTATCCCTTCGTTGGGCCAGATTGGACATACCTTTTGTTGCTCCTGGCCTTACAGTCTGGTCATTTTGACCAGAGATCAGGAAGGAAGAAAATTCCTTCCATAGTCGGATTATCGTTACCGACAAATATTTCGTACGGTTCGAACTGTACGCGAGCGTCGATCGTATAAAAAAAATGCACGACCACGAGAAGTTAATTAAAGAAGAAAATTAATTCAAAATATTTACTGTATAAAACTGATCAAATATATTTCGACATCCGTTATTTGCTGGAGAATAGGTGTTGACTCGATCTTCGAATTCAAAATTCAAGTATATAGATACGGAAACAAAATTTACTTCGCGTTATATATATTTTAATATACTTGATTCTTGAACTTCTTTTGAAAAATCAATCGCGAAAACCGACCGCGAAAACAACCGTAAAAATACGAAGATGCGTGCAACTGTGCATGTATTCATGCGAGACGCATCTTGAAAGTGTATCGCGGGGTGCACATACAAAATAAATGACGTGAGACCCAGAGTAAAGAGACTTTCCGTTCGATAGACCGACAATTGAATATTCCAGTTGATCAGTAATTTCAAATGATGTATGAAAATAATATTAAGTTTCAGCGTTCTCGACAAAATATACAGTCTCACGTCATTATATAAATTTTTATATAAATTTGTTAATAAAAAATTGATAGAGTACAAGAGATTAGCTCGACGAATATATTAATAATGTTCGTCATATTTTGCATGAAAATTACGGGACACCCAACCCTTCGCAGTTAAAATCGCGATCACTCCCTTTCGTTAAAGTAAATGTATAAAAATAAATACGAAATTATGTTGTACTCTATCAATTTTGAGGCAACGAATCTACGAGATATACTAATTTATGTTCTACAATCTACGATCTACGAAATGTACTCTGGGAAAAAAGAAGTCAGTTGCAACCCATTTTGGGGCCCACAATTAGTAATCGAATTATTTAGATTGTTCGTAACTCTAATCTTTTACGAATTTTATTCCGCGTAACTAAAAATCACAATTAGCTGTTCTATCTATATCCAAGATATTAAAGTAATACTAATCAATTCCCTCAATTAGTTCTGTCGATATTCAGTAACGCAAAGATAATTTTCACTTAAGTGGCAATAACCGAAATGTTAAGTTGCTTAACTACATCAAAACACGGTCAAAATTTTTCCCAGAGGATCTACGAGATATACGAGAATTTATCATCTACAATCTACGATCTACGAAATGTAGATTCGTTGCCTCGTTAAAAAATTATTTGACTTACCAACGAACGCGCAGCAGCGGAGTTTAACTACGATGAATCTGTAACAGAAAAATATAAGATTTCTATTAAAATAGCGTTCAAGAAAACTAAAATTAGTGCAAGATATAGTTTATATGCGTATAAAACTTTTTATTCGGTTAGATATTTTTATATGATTATTGCGCGAAAGTTGTTCCGTAAAAGCCGAGATTTTCACGAGAATAAACTTTTGTAAAATCTCAAATTACTTCTCGTCCTTTAAATATTATTTGAAATTCATGAAATTATGAACTGAAACGACGTAGAAAATTGCATGACGGCCGATGGCTGTCATGCAATTTTCTACATTGGTTGTTCAATTACTGGCGCTAAGTAATTCTATACGCAATGAAACGACACGATAATACACCGGAGAAAAGATGAATTTGGCACAAAATGAAAAATTAACACTCACCATAAAGTTGCTCCGCCGGCGCCTGATGCCATCCCCGGGCCAGCTCATCCTCTCAGATTATCCTCCAGGGCACTCGCGAGAACACAAAAATCGTTCGCGCGATTTTACACTCCCGTTTACAAAGTCGATGTGAACGTATTCATTTTGTTCCGTCAAGTTCGCCTCCACTTCGAGTCGGCGAGTTTTTTAGTCGAAAAACTGCCAAATCTCCAAAGTGTGGCCATCGACAGGAACGGACATTTCACAAATACTTGTTCAAATGGGCTTTGAAGAGTCTTTAATTCGATCGAGTAAAACGGCACTCCCGAACGCGAGGAAAATTAAAACTTTATGTTACACGCGCACTTTTATACGTTTAATGTTGGAGAGATTATTATCTTGGCAAGCGATCGATATGTTATAAGTTTTCGTCATCACCGATGTGATTACGGATCGCGACAATTCTTTAAACGCGATGGACAGATGTTAAAACTCATGTACGAGACGATCGCGTTGCGTAGATGATCGAGATTCTCGTCGAAAGTAATCGCGTTACGAGGGGCGACGCGACGACACGCGGAACGTCCGCCTCGCTCGACTCACTCGCGCCGACTGATTCGGCACAATAGACTGTTTTCGAAAAAAGTGTTCACGGTGCTACGTCATTGTAACCGGCGCTCGAGACCGCGTTGTTTACTACGGCGCGTACGTCATTTCTTGGAATTCGTGCTCGGCCAACGGCGCTCGGCAAATACAAGTCACGCCGTACACCGGATTGTTTACGCGGCGAAATCGAACCGAGTTAGCGGCCCGCGCCGCTTCGCATATCGTATTGTTTTTTACGCGTTCGCGACAAGTACGGGAAGAAACTTCGATCGTTTTCCGCGAATAATTAGCGAACGATATCGTCGCGTGATCGCTGAATCCTCGCGATAGATACCGAGAGTGAAATTACTTTTTCATTGCGACGATTGCTTCTTCAAAACGATACTGTGTCTCGATTGTGTCTCGATAAATTGTTAACTCAGTTGCGTTTATTGTGCGGTGTCGATGTTGAAATGTATAATTTTCAAGTTTTTCGTTTATTAACGGAAATATAATCGTGAAATTTTTCTCTTATTAACGGAATCATATAAATGCTGGTCAGAATGCAGAACTTTGAGTCGAATTACATCGCGATACGTTTAATTGAAGATTTAAATATCAATTAATTTTATTCGTGCTTAATTATATTGTAGTAATTACTCATCGATAGTTTAAATTGATCTCTTTTTTAGAAAAGGAGAATAAAATGTTTAATAAGATGCAATTTTCACAGCGAAGAAAATTGAATTTCTTATTTAACAAAAACAATTATTTCATTTAATAAATATTATTCTATATATCATGAAATCTTTATTTGAATGTAGAAAATGTAATGCTTCAAATTAATTTACGCAATATAATACATAGATTTACTTGAAATTGATATTTTTATTTAAATAGAATAAATATTTGCTTCAGTAAAAAAAACAATTTTAAATCAATTTTCTTAGTTTAAAAAAAAATTTTAATAGTGTATTTGCATACTTGATAAATGCTGTTCCGTAATAAAGTTCTATTAAACTTCGCTTAATATACAAAAAAATTAATGAGAGAGAGAGAGGGGGGAGATAAATATTAAACGCTAGCCCATACAGCACAGAAAGTTAAAATAATGCTGCTGAAACGTTGCAATGTTGAATGTTGTAGTATAAATATTTTTTCTACGTTGAATCTTTGTACATTAATTCTTTATATTGTTGCAACATTAAAACAATCTTGAACAAATTATTATTTTTTGACAATCAAATAGATACTTAAAACATTTATAATTATGAAATGTATATATTATATATGTACAATATTTTTGCAACGGTCAGAAATTTTCTGAGCTAAGATTGGATTAGAGGAATAATTCAATTTCAGCACTTCCAGTTCTAAAAAATATTCTGCTAAACGCGACCAATGTTAACTGAATATAATTTAACAATGTTTTCTGAATGTTGAATTGTAACGTTTACAAGACATTACAATTCAGCGGCCATTAGACGTTTTTGCAATATCTTTTCAACGTTGAATTTACATTTCGTAATATTGACGTAATATTGCAATGTTGTAACGGAACGTTTCTGAGACGTTGATTCAACATTTGTGTGCTGTATGGGTAGTGTTATACACTTGACAAATAATGTCCCGTGTCTCTTAAGACTCGAATCGCTAAACTCATTATTGACAACGACGAGGCAACTTTAACGTATGGAGCCGAAAGATCGCAAGTCCCGAAAAGTAAAAGTTTTCGAAATCCGCAGTTCTGACTATTATCTGAAGATGCTAATACGACAGATTGGATTTGCGTTGTCTACGTGAGAAAAGTTGATGTAAATATCATGCAGATAACTTACGTTAATGTAATTTTGAATTTCACAGCACAATCCTGGAGAAATAGGCGTAGCGTGGACACGCACAGACTCACAGAGTGGTGACTTCATCGGCAGTGTCAGAAGATGCATAACAAACTAGTTCCAAAAGTAAAACATGGACGTAGAGACGCGCGAAGCAGTCTCTTGAAACGGTATCAAGTAAAACGCCGGCGTGGCCGCTCTCGGTATCAAGTGATTGGGTACGGATATAGTACTTGGTACGCCTATCAAGTGGTCGGTATAAACTAGGCTATAGGATTGAAAAATTGTCAAAAGTTGTTACCTCGTGAATGTGGCAGAATGAGACGATGTTACTTTTGCAATATTGCCAAAAAGCGCGAAAACGGACGGACGTTTCACAAGTAAATATATTGTCCCATTTACATCATGTGTAGAAATACAAGAGGTTACCTCATCTGGTTGTTTTATCTGAAACAAATAATAAAATTGAGCGTAGTTCGAAACTCGAAGTTCCCTTTTTTTCGTTCGTGCCTTCAACGTGCCGTCGACCGAACTTTTGACTTCCAGTCCTTTTGACACCGGAAGTTCCGTATTTTCCGATTTACAATGCCCTATATTATAGGTTTGCTTTCAACAATCAATAAATTTTAAAACAGTGGTTACAAAATTATGCTATAAAACATTGGACACCAAGCAAGTGATCCACTTTGTGCTCTGACCAATTTACAGAGGAATGTTTTAACCGTTTGATATTTAAAGAACGATTGAAACCAAACAGCATTCCAACACGATTTGATTCCAACACAATCCCCATTCTTATATCGCATATATTGCAAACAAAAGTGTGCGCAAAAATCAGGATATTCCTTCTTCAAAGAAAATTAAGTTTTTTCATTGACGTCCCAGATAGCAACGAGACGTTCTAGAGTTGCCCTGGATATTCAGGGGACTGCTCTGGGACGACCTGGATTGGTCGGAGACGTTCTGTGCTGTATGAGAAAATATCTTTATTAATTTTCTATTTATTACAATCGTAGGTTTCCAGTGGACAAGTCGCATCTTTTACAGAAATGGCTGGATAATATGAAAATCAAGAACTGGACTCCGAACAACAGCAGTTTTTTGTGCTCCCAACATTTTGAGCAAACTTGTTTTCATAAGAAGAAGGGAAAATACGTGGCGTTGAAAGATGGGAGCGTTCCAACGATATTCGAGATTGAAAATTTCGACAATCCAAAGTCAGGTAAAACTTACGTTTCTACGTTTGGCAAATTTGTCTTTACTTGCTAAAATAAAAACTTAACAAAGTTATGTTCTTTTCAGCTGTTGTGACGTCAACTGGAAGTATTTCTACCTGCAAAACAGAATTCAGTCAGAAGATAAGTTTGAATGATAAAGACAGGTTTAAATTTTCACAACAGACTTTTCGCAATGAATTCAGAAATGAGATTGAAACGCACCTAGCAGGTAAGTTTCTTTATTGGTTTCTCATTTCATTGGAAGTCGTAGACCAAAATATGATTTCTATGACTAATGCAATTAAGTTTACTTGTGAGAAATCATTTATCATGAGTAGTGAAACTAACTGTAATAACAAATAAGGTAAGAATTAAGAGATTTTTCATTTTTTTACAGATAAAAATACAGACAAATCACTACAAAGATACAGACAAATGACTTTTAAAAAATCTGAACTTATAAGTTTTGTAGACCATGATCATTGTTATGATATCTCTCCATCGTTACTGCGTAGAAAACTCAAGCATAGTCAAGAGCTACTAAAAAATAAGGAAAAGTTAATAAAACTTCAAAAGCAACAACTTAAACGTCTCAAGACACGCATAACAGGTTTAAAGAAAACAGTAATGGAGTTACGATGTCAGCATGATGTCAAAAAATTACCTGAAGTGTCTTGATTCAATACCCAATGAGAGTGTAAAAGAATTTATAGAATGTGATAAAAAGTGGTAAGTTGTTGAAAAGCTGGCAGTATCCACCAGCTTAACAAAGCTTTACGTTAACTCCGCATTTTTATTTATCTCGAATTTAGCGTAAGAAGATAAATATGTCTTTATCTGTGTGTTACATCTGTGTGTAGCATGATTTGAATACACCAAGTATATTAAAGTTATGCTACAATTCCATTGATTGAGAACCTGAATGTATTTCAGAAAGTATTGAGCCGTTAAAATATTAAGTTCGAAAGGCGAGAGAATAGTGGTTAATATCTTATTTATTATGAATGAAATGGAAATAAGAAAAGGAACTCGGGAGAGCGGAGATGGTAAAGTATGTATATATACATTAATTTTGGAGTTAAATTTAAAATATACATATATGATAATTATATTTAATTTACCTTACAGACATTAGTTGTGCCAGAATAATTGTTCCACTGCTACCTTCTGATGTCGGAAAGAATGACATCTATATTATAAAATGAAAATGTAGACATCAAGCTTTAATACAAAATTTTATTAAAATTTGTTTTATGGATTTTTCTGCGACAACAATTTACGTATTTCTACCTGTTTACCTTCCTATCCTAAAGTGTACTGTTACCACTACTAAAAATGTTATAGGGATGATCTGAAATAATATACAGTACAAGATGATTCTGAAAACATCCTAAAAATATACGAAAACTGATATATTACAGGAGATACAGAGATATTCTCGGTATATTATGTACAGTACGTACTACATTCTCATAGTATGAGTATAGAATAGAACACAACCAAAATTGGGCACTGCATTACCCGCTTGAAAAATAGGCATAGCATATTATATCAAGTAAAACGCCGGCGTGGCCGCTCTCAGGTTTCACTCCGCTACTCAGCTACTGCTCGGCGAGCGCTCTGCGCTGATTGAATTACACTTTGGAGAATAGTTCTATCTCATTAGCTGCGTTCAGCATTGCAAATCCGAAGCGTCGGAGTGCTTTTCTGCATTCGAGCGAACAAGAGAGAAAAATGAGATGGAGAAGGAGGAAGGGCGCTCCGACGCGCCTCGGATTTGCAGTGCCGAACGCAGGCCATTATGTCTCTCGACACAGATCCAAAAGTATAGTCCAATCGAGAGAAGCAAGAAGTGGACGTTAGACGCACGATTGGCCGGTCGTCTCGTGGACGTAGTCTCGTTTAAGCCACCAACTTCAGCACTGAAAAACCGCCTTGACGATTCCGAATTTGCACGCTGACATCATCGCCGTCATTACACTTTTACCATCGCGCTTACCTCGCTTGCCAAGGGTGTGGCGTAGGACGGAGCCGTAGCCGCCGTAGGATCCGTCGGGATCTACGTTCGTTCTCATAAAAGGTCATGCCACGTTCGCTGAGATCGGATTGGCTGTCTCTGATTAAAATCCGACGGGAATACGGACGTGTCGGCTACGTGACAGTCGCATAGGTAGTGCCTTAGCCCTGTTACGTTTTCTCCGTCATTTAATCCGCCAAATATTTACATTACCGCCAATCTTGGACTAACAGTTGGTTCGTCGAGCAAAAATTATTAAGTCAGGTGGCGACTGATGTCCCAGCGGTGGCTCCAAAGTTATGTTTCATCAAGCTGGAATAAATGTTTAAAGCAATTCAATAAATATAGAAGACAGTAGACAGTTAATAGGTAGCTAACAAAAATAAGTTATAGGGAAGAAAAGAACAAGAAAAATACCTTACAGAAAGACGATCAAATGATCGATTCGGCGAGAATTGCGACGATAACATTGGGATATTGTTGACGCAGTGTATTAAATTCACATCTGATAGCTTCTATTATGTTTTTAACGTATTTTTAATAATGTTCCGATTATAGAAGTCGCAGTGTGAAGCATATTGAGCGCAGGCGAGTAGAAAGAGAGGCCAGGCCAGGTGTGTTTGTCAACGTAACCGTCCTCTTCCGTTAAAATATGCCAGGGTAAGCGCCGTCTCCTTGAAAGATAGCATTTCTCTTTTGCGTGCGAGACGTAACTCAAAACCGAAAACCACTTCTCTTCTGTTTTCTCGATAAAGCACACGTATACACGACACCACACACTAATTCCATGGAATGACTGATCCGTTTAAACTCGTGGATTACAACATAGTTGCAACGCACCTCTGTTATTTAACGATTAAATTACGTACAGGGTTACAGAGATGTCGTTGGATCACATGGCTTGCTCCCGATGCAGAGAAGGTTTCGTTGCGCACGAGAAGATCGTCAACTCGAACGGCGAATTGTGGCATCCGCAATGTTTCGTGTAAGTCGACAGGACGTTACAGTCACACGATAGTGTATTTAAGCGGTTGTTATATTTTTATTTGACCTGTAATTATCACATGTTAAAAATGATATAACTATAGACGAGTAATGTACGTCTTGCATAAAATAGTGTGAGAAAAGAAGAGTAAAGACATTTTAGATATGACTTCAAAACTTATACCTTTCTTCGCTGTTTTCCATGAGAGAAAAGTAGCTGTAAAAATTGCGTTATGGAGTTTCGGGTGCTTTATGTCATTTTGATGATAGGTGCGCGCAATGCTTCCGGCCATTTCCAGACGGGATCTTCTACGAGTTTGAAGGCTACAAGTATTGCGAACATGATTTTCACGTTCTGTTTGCACCGTGCTGCGGCAAGTGTGGTAAGCTGGACGTAAATTCTGTTAATCTGATACGAGGTAACGTTTCAAACGTATTTAATCGAACTGTCATCTTTGCGACAGGTGAGTTTGTCATCGGCCGCGTGATTAAGGCGATGAACTCGAATTGGCATCCGCAGTGCTTCCGCTGCGAAGAGTGTAACGGCGAATTGGCGGATGCGGGCTTCATCAAGTGTCAAGGCAGAGCCCTGTGCCACACGTGCAACGCCAATGTGAAAGCCGGGGTGCTTGGAAAACACATATGCCATCAATGCCAGTATGTTCTTATCAAAATGTGTCTTTGATACTAGGAGACAATACAGTTTGATATCCAAATGTTTAATTATGAAAATACGTAGAACGATGCTAGGGCAACCTTTTCTTCTAAATTTTATGTAGAAAAGATGTTAAATTCTCTTCTCGCGCGCTGCTACTTGTAGCTCCTTGGCGGAGAGACGTTTCTACAAGTGTCGAAAAATGAATCTGAAACGTCTACAGAAAAAAAAGAGCTATAATTTATTGCGATAGAAGAATGCACGTTTCAAATGTTTTAATTGATATTCGTTTCTTGCAATTTTGTAGCGGAGTAATCGATGACAAACCTTTGCGATTCCGCGGTGAACTTTATCACCCATATCACTTCAATTGCACAACTTGCGGCGTGGAACTCAATTCTGAGGCTAGAGAAGTCCGCTCTCGACCTGGCTACGCTGCCAACGAAATGGTAAGATTACTCTGACGTTTTATAATATGTGAATCACGATCAGACACGTCATGATTGTATATGAAAGCCTCAGTTTTGAGAAATTATATCTAAAGAAATATGAATACGTTCATCTTAGCGAACAAAATATAACATAATTTTAACGGTAAATTTTAGATAATCTGCGAAATAAGATATTCAGCTTTCACTTCCAAATTCATAATTGCACGGTACATTTATAAGAGTCGGTCTGAATGACGAACATTATGTTACACAGAACGAGCTGTACTGTTTGCGATGCCACGATAAAATGGGGATCCCGATTTGCGGCGCCTGTCGACGTCCCATCGAGGAGCGCGTGGTAACGGCGCTCGGCAAGCATTGGCACGTAGAGCATTTTGTCTGTGCTAAATGCGAGAAACCCTTCCTGGGCCATCGCCATTACGAGAAGAAGGGTCTCGCTTATTGCGAGACTCATTATCACCAATTGTTCGGGAATCTCTGTTTCGTCTGTAATCAAGTTATATCTGGTGACGGTACGTGTTAGATATATCAAAGATATCACAAGTTAATTTTCGAATTCTCTTTCTTGAATTAACGTTTCCTTCTCTAGCTATTTGTGCCTCGAACTACAGGTCTTATTGCCTTTGACTGCAATTACTTCGGACTGACAATATCAGAAGCAAAAAATTACATGAATCTTTTCTACGAGCGCTGTTTTAATCTAATGCTTGTACTCTCTAGTTTTCACAGCGTTGAACAAGGCGTGGTGCGTCCATCACTTCGCGTGCGCATTCTGCGACCAGAAGATGAACCAGAAGACAAAGTTCTTCGAGTTCGATTTGAAGCCCGCTTGCAAGAAGTGCTACGACAAATTCCCGCAGGAGCTGAAGAAGCGGATGCGACGTATGTACGATCTGAATCCCAAGAGGGTCCCGCCAGCGTAAACGCACGTCTCGGACTCTTCCGTGTGAATCTTTCAAGATTAATCAATACTCATTCGCGCCTATAGTGCCTTATCTGCCTTAATGTCGACGCAAAGGAAATATATATATATCTATTTGTTGCATTGTAATCTGTATAGAACCTACCAAAGCTACTCTTTTGTCAATCGTAAGTATTATATACATATATACTTTGACACAATCGCTATCTTTCAATGTAACTTATTTGAAAGAACTATTGATGTCTCTTCAATTTGAAATATTAGTTTTTAATTTGGCATCTATGAATTGGGGAGAGTGCAATAGTTCTGTAACATTATGTATATGTAAAGCATAACATTAGCTTACATTTTATATAATCTTTTATATAATCGTGTGACACGAGCATATTAAATTGTACAATATATATATTTGTTCTTGTCTGAATTACTGCCGATATAGATAATAATTTATTCACTTCAGCCAAGAATATATTTACTCCGTGAGTTTCTAATATCTAAAATAAGTTTGCATTATACAAAAATATGTAATAATCATATATATAATTTTATTGAATTTTAATTATGTACTTTAATTGTAATATATATTTTAATCGAGATTTTTCAAGGAAATTGATAACAAAATGTAAGATAAATGTAAGATCGTGCCCAGCGACAGTAAAGAATGCGCAATAAAAACGGCATTTAATGGAAGTAATGAAGTTTTATTTACAAATCAAGGCATTAATTGTATATTCACACGCGTACTCCTTGTTCTCTACTCTCACTCATGTTAAAATCTTTTTAACCCGTTCAAGGTCATAAAAAAATATTAAAAAGTAATCACTTTCCGCAAGTTTTACTTTTCTTTTTCTCGTCGAGTTACCCTTAATTGTCTCGTTTATGCCAAGTATTGTTACTTATTTCCGTAATTATATCTCGTGACGACTATCCGTCGAAGAAGGAAATCCCTGCACTCACACTTCCATTTAATCCTAGAATACTAATAATACGTAATAAAAAAATAGCATTTAAGTCCAGCAGCTTTTCTTTTCTCTTTTCTTTTTCTTACCCCATTAAAATAGCATGGTTTTATTTCTAATAAAAGTTTATTTCTCTCATCTTGGTATTTGTTTGTTCTCTTTTTTTTTCTTTTTAAGGAAAATCTCAACATACGTAAATTTAACGTATGATTAGTGTTAATGACTTAAAAGTATGATTAGTATTCTAAGGTTAACGCTGAGTTTAGCGCTAAATGTGGTCAATTGATCCTGAACTTTAAAGCGGTGTGATAAATCGATTCGGCTATATATATAGTTCGATGACGTCAGAGAGGCAAGGGAATCTACAGAAATTCCCCCGTGCTGACCTATGCTCTTATAAAAGCACATAAAATCATGTCGATCTCAGAGAGGCAACATATTTATGAGATAAGATCAAAAATTACGAGATCGAATGTGAGAGATCTCATGTGCCAGATTAAATGGTGCAAAAAAGTGGCCTATTTTTATTGTATCTGAAATACTTTTGTAGGAGAAATTTCTCAGTAGTCGGAAGAGAAACTCACCCATGCGGTGTCAGCTTCCTTTCCACTTTGTTCAACGACATTCTGAAGTCGTAAAAAATATCTCAGGTATCAATGTCAAATTAACTGATGCCAAACGTCAGTCAGCAATGCATAGAGTTTCTCCAAAGTATCTCACGTTTTACAATGAGAGGGTAAAAAATAGACGATAAAGGCCTTTTTCAAGGTTTCAACGCTACTTTAAGCCTTCCATCATGATTTGTACATGCTTTTGTAAGATTGTCTCTGATAGATCTCATTCGAAAGTCACGAAACTCAAACAGGTAAATCGCCACAATTGACGGTACGAAGATCAAGATCATAATCTGAAGACTGATCGAAGATCGGTCGCATTTAGCGCTAGATGTGCGGTGCGAGTAACAAGTCTCTTTTTTTTTTACAAGCAAGTCTAGGTTCGCACGCGCGCGTAATCCGCAAATAATCCGCTGAACATGACCGCTAATTCTACGCTCTAATCGTCCGACACGAAGGCCGCGGTCCGATACGTGGATAAAATAAAGCTGAAGCGTGGACAACCACATTTAGCGCTAATTGCGCAACGCGAATACGGTGCCAGTGGGTTTCGAAAAATCTACATTCGCAGCCCCCGCTCGGCACCGCCTAATTCTCCACAATGCGGCTATCCAATTACACGGAGCTTTACTTCAATTCGGGAAGGGAGACCTATACATGTGCTTGTATAACCGTAGGATTCTATTCTGGGATCTAATCAGATAGCCGCATTTTGTGCCAGAGCGCCGTCGAGTGCGAATACAGGACCATGCTACTTTATTGCGATTGAAAGGCGACGCGAGCCTTCAACGGGTTAACAATAAATCACGAAGAAAACAAAGGACCTTTATACAATTCGCGCGATAATGATAATAGTAATAATAATACAATTGTTCCTAATTTTATACGGCGCGCAAAAGCCGCGCGCCCTCTCGGTTTTTATCTTCCTCTCGCTCTCTCTCTCTCTCTCTTTTTTTTATTTCGCGGTTTTCCTTTTGTTAAGAAATTTTCTGGATCTCCGTATATAAAAAGTCTCGGCTCAACTTGGATCGGCGCGGCGGCGGCCGTCACTCGGCGAAAGCCTCGAACGCTATTATTTTTTTTCCTTTACTTTTTACACACATACCACATGCATACGATGCATACAAACGTACACGCATCACACACACTCGCATTCTCTGTTTCTGTCATTTTTTAATGTATGTGTATGTGTGTGTCTATATATATAATTTAAATACTATATATATAGTATTTAAATTAAATATGTACATTATTTCTTTAATAATAGAATTATAAAACTTTTTGAATAAATTATTTCGTTTAAAAGATCTACACAATGACTTAAACGAAAATTTTTAATTCTTTTTTAAAATGTTTCTAACAAATATTGTCTTTTCATTTAAGTAATATACTTATTTTGTCACATTTTTGTAAAGTATTTTATGACAAATTCAATAACGTGTAATGAAGCGTGATTTTCGCTGGTCGTTCACAAGCATTGTCGCTTGTTTTACTTTTAGATATAAAAAATAACATAAAATTGTCATTAAAAGTATAAAACAATTTTTAACTTTTAAGTTATTATATAAAAATCTGCTCCAGCTACATGACTTTTATTCTAAAAATTCTTTTATATAACTCTATTATTTAAAAAAATAACGTATACACTTAAATCAAACACGTTATGTGTGTGTGTATATATATATATACATATATGTATATATATAATCTTTCTTACACATTTGTCGTTTTATTATGCGCAGCAAGGCGGGCCGAAATCATGATTGCGATTTCAAGAAGGAGAAGATTATTGGCAACGCTTTCTCACTCGCGTTTCTCCTTGTTTCAACTATGAGATATTACGTGTTTGCGTATGAAATCGTCGAATTTTTTCAGGTCCGCAAATATAAAAAGATCTCTTGCGAATAAATAAATAAAATGGACGCTTGAATTGCACGGCCTTTGAAAAACTACACACTTTTTGCGCAGCTTTGTTTCTGATTACAAGATTCCATTTTCTCTTATTAATGATACAATCTACATTCTTCCTACATCATCGTGCTCCTCGAGATCGATAAAAAAATAAAAATGGCTTTTTCATACGCAATAACGTAATAGTAATGCTGTGCTGTAGCTAAAATGCTTTAAGATCCTTGAATCCTTAGATTCTTCTTTGCGTACAATTTTGATCTATGCATCTGTGCATTCTCCTGAATTCTTAGAGTCTAGCTTCAAGTCCTTGGATCTTTAATTCTTTGGAATTCTAGCCCGATCAATTTATAAACTGCTCGATCTTCCAATCCTTATATTCGTAGATCCTCAAACGTCTCACAGACACATTTTTGATTTCTTACAGCTGATTTGTTTCTGATTCTTAAGTTTTTGACAGCTTTCAATTCTTCTAACATATCTTAATGATAAAATTCTTCTCAATCGTTCTATCCACGATCCTTACAGCTTTAAAAATTTAACTCATAGATTGCTACACTAACGTGATTTTTTTTTAAGTATCACAAAACGTAGTATTGAATCATTGCACGCTTAGATATATCGATGGATTCGTGGACTTTTACATCCGTACAGTCTCGGGTTTTAGAATAATCGATCTCGATCCTAATATCATCGATTCCTTCTCGACTCTGAGCAGAGAGATCCATGGATCTTTTAATTCCTCCAATTTTCTCACTCAACTTCTCGACACTTAGACCTATGAATTCTCGGATCCTTGGATCGTGCACAGATTTGTCCCGGAACAGATGTATGACGGTCGTACATAATGGAGTCGTTTCGATGGGCGTTATTACAAAGAGAATATTACGATATACGGTTCGCGCATAATAACGTTTACAAGAAACATCGGCACACTTACTAAGTACAGAAGGATGGAAGAATTGGAAGCCACATCAAAAATCTCTTTGTTAAATCTCTTCCTTACTTTAAGTAGAAACGATAATCCGAACGGTCGGATCACTCCGAGCTATCGTTATATCGATAAAAATTAACAAGACATTTGAAAATACAGGGCAGTCGAAGAATCCCGTTACATTTGCGCGCATCGAGGAAGACGATTTCTTGATAAAGTAACTAAAAAAATAAAAATACAAATTCTTTGCACGGATAGCTTTGGTCTCTACAAAGCGCTGTAACATATACAAAGTAATATGTAACGTATATATGTATATAAACTTTCTCTTTAATCTTACAATTATAAGTAAATCACGTTTTTCGTCCTTTCTCACGTATATCCTAGATCTATTACTTTCGTAGATTAAAAGTGATATTTTCGATCGCATTAATATTGTTTTTGAATATGTAAAACATTAGACGCCCATAATTTTGACTTCCGAGAAAAGCAGATCTTTATGTAACGAATTAAAAATTTTCCATCTCCTTTCTTATCGATGTACCTCGATTTTCGATCCACCCTGTATTCAAACGAAGGAAGAAAAAATAAAACAGCAGACGCAGCCAAGTTTGTTACAAGCTGATATTGATAATCAATATACTCATTAAATATATCGATGATAATGCCGTCATTTCAGCGCAAGGTTTTAAAAAATTTGCCATTGTCGTCTAGAATTGTGATTTCGGGAAATACTTTCTGTATTAGTCAGACCGGGCGCGATTTTCCAGCAGCAAGATAGGATAAAAAAACGATTATAGCTTCTCGTGCACCTGAACGACGACATTAGCGTCAATATACTTGCAATAATGCTTATATTAATATAATAATATTAACAGAAGACTAAAAGCACGAATAATAACAATTTAAAGTGATTATGGTAGTACAATGCACTTTGTACATTCATTATGTTCGATCAAGCAGCTGATTGTTTATAAATTACGCATTAGTAAATATATGCACATACGCGTAGGGATATACTGGCTGCTTATCTATTGCCCCTCACATGGGCTACATCTAAATTATTCTAATTTGTTAATGACATCATCGTGCGATTCGTTTCATTGGAGCAAGAAAATTGCTAATTGTTCAATTCGTGAAATCCACTAAAAATACTTTTGTTATATATATATGTACACGTTTTATTCTGAAAATAAACGAGTTAAAATAAATTGTGGAAACCAGAATGCTAATCGGAGCACTGATGATCTTTTCGCAGAGATTACTGTAAGATTAGAATTCAATTTTATGACGTGAATTTCTTTCTTTCCAGTTCCTTTTACCTTCCCTGATATAGTTTCTCGCGCGATTGGCAGTCATGTGTATCTGATAATTCAAATTGGCAGTTGTTAGTAGTAAGATGTGATAAGAGCCACACATCAGCAAAAGTTCATGATAAAATAATTGCGAAATTATTTAAGTAACAAATATTAATTTTTGTGTATGTATGTACATATTTAACGTATACGTGTGTGCATACGTGTGCATGCACGCGTATTAAATAATAACATATATATTGAAAATATATTGAATATATGTAAAATAAATATGTGAACTGATATATATGTATATATGCCGCTGGATCGCCGAATCACCCTGTAATATACACATATATATTTAATTGATTATATGTACATTCGATTTCAACGAATAAGAAAAATGCCTGAGTTTTGCAGTTCCTGCGAAAATCATTAGATTCCAGATGTCTAAATAAATTGTCATCTTTTTGCTCCAAAAAAACGAACGGTGAAATATGACGTAACTTCATAGCTTGGAGGGAAAGAATGATATGCATTGGCCCAGCTTTCAGTTTATCAATATTGGCAACAATATGTAATGTAATTCATGATTATTCTCGGTTACTTAATTTACTCTCCTCTTCGTTTCTCTCAGCAAAACAGCTCGTTTAATTTATTATTGATGTGACCTCTTTAAGATTTCTGCAAACCAATTAATTAATATTTCTCAGTAAAGTTAATTTAATTAATTCTAAAAAAACCCCATATTATTTAATTATTACTTTACATTCTCTGAAACCTTTTAGCGAACATCATAAAAGAACTTTACCGCTTGATAAAAGCCAAAATTAACATCTTCAGAGATATGAGTCTAATTAAAATATATTATTCCAATAAATATATTGGACAGAAGTACATTTACATTACATTATTTACTTAACAATGAACTGGTAAAAGTAAAAATGGAAATGTTCATAAATATCAGAGATGGTAAAAAATAGTAGTACGTACCCTGTAAAATTTCAATGTCACCGTCTTAAATGCCACATACAGAGCGTTCTATAAAAGGTGTGTACCAGTAGCAGGAAATGCCTAACGCAATACTCAAATGCAACACTCATGAAATGCTTAATTTTCACGAAAATTTTTCGAAAACCATGACGTCGGTGGATGCTTCGCGGATGTGTTAGTTACATATTTAATAACAACAATTCAATAGCTATAATCTCATGGATGAGTAGATTTTACAATAATCTTGTTAAGATATCGATCTTTTATCATATATGTTTATGATTCCAGCGATTCACGACGCTCTTTAAAAATGTAGAGATGAAACTTTATCTACTAAAATACGCGGAAAAATGTTATCTCTACTCCTCGGCAGTGTACAGCGAGTAGTATTCTACTGTCGACAATATGTTCTTATAAACTTGAGCTTCTTAATATTGCATTATATCCTTGAAATATTCTTAAAAGTTTCTTGGGCTTTAGTGAGATCAACTTTGCATGTTTAATTTGTCCAACCTTCTCGAGCAACTCAACAAGCTAATGACACTATTTTAAGAATAAATTTCCAGTTCTCTGTAGTGGTTTTTGTCTGTGGTATTTTTACAAAATTAAAAAATTCTCGATTACACTTAATACTTTATCTTTCCGAATAAAGTTTTTTTAAACGTGCGTAATTATCTGTAATTCTCTTAGATACTTTTCTTGATTTTTGTATCCACGCATTTTAAGAGCTACAATAATTCGATACTAAATTCTAAAATATTTGGAATATTTTTTTACAATGTTATTTTAAGTAATTAAAATAACGATGAAAATAAAATTTTTCCATCTGAAATTTTATAACAAGTAAAATATACACATATGTTAAATTCTACCTGCTACTGTTACCTTCCTTTTTTTCGACGTGTTCTGTAAGTTGGGTCAGGAGCATTCATGTCTCCACTGTAATCGAATCTAAGTGAACAAAGTTTGCAGTGTCTTGGTTCAAATAGAAAAGCTACACGGCAACAACAGCATGGCCCATCAAACGACTCGAAGCGGTCTCTCTTCTTTTCCCCTTGCTCTTCATACTTTCTCTCGTTCCTATAACTTAACATTTTTTCCAGTATACAATCACCATCGGCAATCATTCTAATCACCGCCCTCGTTTTCTCGCGATCGGTCAACTTTTCTATAAGCAGTTTCTGCTTGACGGAGATTCCTGGTTCAATCCTTCACTAGGTTCTCATGTAGAGTACAATTGTATCTTCAATCTGCCCGTGCGGACAGGGTCGATATATAGTTTGTCATTTTTTTTTTTACGTTTGGTGCAAAATGGAAGAACACTCGCGCTTCGAAGATGACTCAGTCTTCGTTGCGTTGCTCGCCAGGAGGAAGGGTATCAGCAGCTACGACTGTGTGCCGACTTGAGTGACGCGCATTCAAGATATAAGACATTTGGCTCCGCTGATCGGAGCGGTTTTTCCAAAGATCAACGTGGGGGTGCACTTCGAGGTCCTTCGCCACATAGCGAGTGGGTCACGTGGAGCAGTCCCCTCAGAATCCTCCGGAAGGTGCATTGAGCGACAAGACTGGCTGTGTTGCCAGGATTCAGGTGGGGCTAGGAAGCAGCCATTGAAATTGAAGTTGGCAGGCTCTGATTGCTCTGCACCGCGTGCGCAGGTATCTGATTGTAAGGATGATTGCTATTGCACAGCACCGTGTAGATGTTCTCTACATTGCTGAGCTTCTCGAAGAAGGGGATTAGATCCAGTAGTTCGGAGTCCGTCATGTCATCGAACCAAGATGCCACTGGGACCTATCGGAGAACAGATACCGTCTCTGTCATTAATCGCCCGAGACATTGATTATCTCGTCGAGATAAAGGCGACGGATAAGTTTTATTTGAAACATCTTTATAAATTATATCTTACCGCATTATCTGGATGGAAAATGTAACTGGCAGGACTATTATCTACAATAATGATCTGCTGCAAATCCCGACCTAATTTGTTCAAGTCCTTAACATAATTTCCTCTGTGGAACACACAGGATTCTCTGAACAGCCTTGCTCTGAATACACCCCATCGATCTAATAAATCTGCCACTGGGTCTGCATACTGCAAAATGTCACAGATGTTAATTAAACAATTGGCTGAATCTTTTATTTCAAGTCTTATTATAAATTACTCCCGTTTCGTCGTGATAAATGTTATCAAAATTTTTACTCTCCAACATTAATTATCTGACAAGATAATTTTTTTATGTGATAACAATACAATTCTTCTTTAAATCTACTGCATAGAGTGTTTCAAACATGTTACGGCTTTTGCTTGTTAACAAATTTGGGAGAAACCAGGGATACGTTCTGTCTGGCGCTTGTAATGCTCGTGAGCATTCATCGTTGTTTAACACTTGTTAAATAATAAGGACGAAATAATTTCAAGAGCGACGTAAGCACCAAAAGGACCGTACCCTAAACCTGCCTCTTACATAAAGAGTATAAGACTCCTATTCTAGTTTTTGCTTCCTCTATGAACCTACCTTGGCCAAGCTTGCAGTGAACAGTACACATTCATATAATTCACCCATTCTCTGCAAAAACTCGTCCACATAAGGCCTCTTTAAGACGTACACTTGATGTACCGTTCCATCAATCTCTACGGGAACAACAAAGTCCGCATTGTTGATCGGTTTGAAAGAACTATGCACCAGAGTCTCGTCCAAGTCGATTACCATGCACTTCTTGTGCATGTCTTGGTGCCTGACCGGCGGTAGGAGGAACCTCGGGGACCCGGTGCCGGGTGGTGGCGAGCCACGGCCGTCGCCCTGCAGAGAACTCGCCTTGGAGCTCTTGGAACTGCCGCCGCGGCCGCGTCCAAAGCAGCAGAGCAGGGAGCGCAGGAGCCCGCGTCCCCTCGGCTTCTTGCCGCTCGGGCTACTGTTGGCCGCTTCATTCTCTCGAGGTAACTGGGCTGTGGCGCACACAGAGGACAACTCATTATTATCGCGCCAATCCGTTAGGGCGGAGTGGATCTGAAAAGGATTTGGGTCTCAGGGCGGACTGTGCCTCCTCGAGAGCTGCACGCGCTCCGGACAGACTCGGGCCAGACGCTGCTGCTACATTTCGCACTCGCGTTGCGGAGCGTACACTGCGACGAGAGTCAGCGGGAGCATTGAAAGCTCGTCAACATCCGAGTTGCGATTCTAGAAAGTGACAACGCTCAACCTTTAAAGAGGAATCTGTCGAAAGGACGTGTATTTACGTTCCCTCTCTCCCTCCCTTTCTGTACACGTATGTGCAGGAAGACCTACTTTCTCGAGTTTTGCCAGCAAAAGTGGTGTACGGATCAAGATCCGACACCTGATCTAGATTCTATCTCAGGGTTCAGTTGGCGTCAACAAGTCTACGTCAACCTGGACAGTGGCATCGCGCGCGCACCAACGTCGTGGAAGGGACGTGCCGCGCGATTAACCTTTCACAGCGAGTTTTTTGCCGCCACCTCTGGAGAGCCTGCCCTTAGAGAGCCTCTCGTGAAAGGCGCGCGAAAGGTTAAAGGGCACGACACGGCATAAGAAAGCGAGAAAATCGTGGACGTCGCGCGTCCTCGGCGGCTTCAAAAGGGGGTTCAAGAGGGACGGCGGTGCACGGCCGAGGATCGCGACGGGGCGGGAGGGGCAGAGGGAGACGGCGGCGCGGAAGACACGCGAGAAGTCGCTCGCGCGAAGGGACGGGGCGGGGAAGGGGGAGAGACGGACCGCGAAGTTAGGCGACAGGGGGTACGAGGAGGAAAACGCGGGGTAGCCGTAACAGGTGCAGGGGAACGAAATCCCCGCAGCATCTGGCGGTGAACACTCTCGTCGGGCGGGGAGGAGGAGAGCGGGCGGGACGGAGCAGAGGACGGCGCGGGGCTGTTCGCGGCGATACGCACCTTTCTCGCTGTTAAACGCGCCTAACTCGTCATCCCGCGACACTTGGGTGATAATGGACGATGCGTCCATTTAAACATTAGTCAGTGGTCCCTGCGTGCTCGATCGCGAATTCCGTTAACGCGCGCGCGCGCGCGCCAGCCGACGGACGGACGAGCGAGCTGGAGCGAGCGAGCGAGCGAGCGCGCGCGAGTGACACGGAGAGCGCGCGCGACGGCCTCGCGCTCGCGCGCGCCCGCGCGCGCACGAGAGGGAGAGAGAGAGACGAGAGGCACGAGGGCGAGAGCGAGCGAGACGGAGCCGCCCTGCGAGCGGGCGTGCGCGCGCGAGGGAAAGGGAGAGAGAAAGCGAGCGCGACGCACACACAAGCTAACCTCACTCTCTCGCTCGTGGCGCACGAAACCCCTTCGCTGTCCTCTCGCGTCCCTCCCCGCTACTGTCGCCGTCGCCGCCGCCGCCGCTGCCGGCGCCGCTGTCCTCCCCACCACCGCCGCCGCAACTACGTAGATGAGCGCGCGACGAACGGAGGCGCATAGGCGCGGAACCCGACGCGCGCTCCCGGGAGCGCGGCGGAGTCGCCTACGCGCGGATCGACACGCGAGTGTCCTCGCGGCGGCGAGGAGGCCGTGCGACGTCGAGCCACTCGATCCTCCCGGGACGCGCGTCAACGCACACGTGCGCGCTACGACGCTTTTTCCTTCCCTCTCTCTCTCTCTCTCTCTCTCTCGCTCGCGCTCTGGCTCTCTCTCGCTCTCGCGTTCCCCGAACACTCGCGACGTGCTTTCCTTTCCTCTTTCACGCGGCGCCACACCTATCGCCCGTCGCGCGGTTGATTGATATTCCGACGGCGCATCGCATCCGGGGCCGCGGATGGCTCGCGCTTCTGCAACCGCACACGCCTCGCGTAAGAGGAGCGACGCGGCCGCGTGCACGTATTATTACACGAGGCGGACCCTCAATCGCACGCTGCCGACGCGCGCGACTCCGGCGCGCGGTGCTCGGGCATGTCGGAGCGGGCGCTCTCGACCTTGGGCGCGCACGAGCGACCTGCCTGCTGCCTTCTCGACCGAACCGACCGCGATAACGGGAGTCCCAGGGCGCGGGCCGTGCCTTCACTCGTCTGACATCGTGTACTTGCATACGCACAGCGCGATCCTGACGCGCAAAAACAACGCGCGGGACTTTACTCGCGCTATATATAACCCGAGCCTCCCCGCGCGGCTAAAGGAAAAACTAAATATATGTATATCGAAATTAGACACGGCGTGTTATACCAACCGCGGACCTGCCGACACGAGCTGCAATTATAGTACGGTAGAATAATTTTCGATAGTTTTAAAAGGCTCGCGTCGCAGCTGCGTCCGCATCGAGGATCGAAATTACGTTGAGGCACGACGAGATTACGACCAATCGGGACGGAGGTAAACGAGATCTTTTGTCCGATTGGTCGAGCCTAGTTGCGCCTTAGGCTGGTATTA